TGGAATGGCCAGGTTGTTCCTCCATCTTCGTTCTTTCTCGCTTCTATCTGGACCGTCTTCTTACCTTCTTCGTTGTGTCATTCTTCGTTTTGGTTATCCTGTCGACTAAAACTGTGATGTTATACTGTCGAATCTTCTAGAATCCTGTCGACTAAAAATGTGGTGAGGTATCCAGTCGACTCAATCTATGGTGTGCGATCCTGTCGACTCTCGGTATACTGTGGTAACCGAGGGTCCCTCGCTGTGGTATGGTAACCGAAAGGGGCAAACCTGTAGTAACCGAGAGAGACAGTCAGGGCGTGGAGAGTTTTTCAGTACCTCTCTGCACCTTGGGAGACCTTTAACAGTTCTCACAGTGTACAGGCAGTCGTGGTCGAGGCAGAGTGGAAAGCTTGGGAATGTCCTTCACAAAAAAAACGAAGACACAGTTGCACTAGGAAAGTCCCGTGAACAGATAAAAGTTTTGCTAGGAGCGAAAGATGGAGATAAAAGAGTTCTTACTGGTCTACATGGTCGATGAGGTGGACCTGGGGTACAACCGACGAGGACTCACGCTGATGGTGAAGTGACTATATTTTTGTCTAGGACGGAGGTCTTATATATCTTTGCCGAGAGAGGAAGTATTGCATTTTAGCAGATGCAACAAGAGCGTAGATCGGATGGCGAAATTGTGCACTGGCGCTGTTTTAATGTCCATCCATACAGAGTTCAAAACAACAACTACTCACCCGTGCAGGCACGGTCCCGCTCCGCCGCGGCACGTGGAAAAACATACAATATTCCCAGAACATCCCCCTTTTTAAGATTTGAAATATATATATATTACAAACTTTAAATGCATAATATAATTAATAATGAAGGCGATCCACGGGTTTAACGATTCGTCCACTCCGGGTTCTTATCTGGTCGTCTTCTGAGTCGTTAGAGGGATAATCCACTACTGGGGTCTTTTCATTTTCAACCAGTTCCTCCCCCGAAAAGGTCGGCGTCGATCGGTCGGCTGGATATTGCACTGTATCTCCTTTTCGTAGTTGGAATCTGTTTCGACGTAAAGTCCCAACTGGAGTATCAACCATATATGACCTTGGTGTCGATGCCTTCTGCTTTACAATCCCCCAGATTCGCATATCTGTAATCAAAACCGTGGCACCTTCGGATAGCTCCTCCATGTCTGTAGCTCCGCAGCGTCGATCATATCTGGCTTTCATATCCTTTCTCCTTCTCCCCTCATTTCTTTTCAGGGCCTGAGAGTCCACCAACCTTGGATTAAGATTCTCTGGTGCAATTGGCAAGGTCGTTCGGAGTTTACGTCCCATGAGAAGTTCAGCAGGGCTGTAACCGTTCTCCAAAGGGGTCGATCGATACTCCAGGAGTCCAAGCGATGGGTCTTGATTTTTCTTGAGGATCAACTTAGCAATTTTCACACCTGCTTCTGCCATCCCATTGCTCTGCGGGAATCGAGGACTTGAAGTGACATGTGTGAATCCGTACTGCCTTGCGAAATTTGCAAATTCACGAGCAGCTCCAAATTGCGTCCCATTATCGCTTACAACAGTTTCTGGTATTCCATGTCGGGCAAATATGGATTTGCAACTACGCACCACCACATTGGCTGTGAGCCGATCCAGCTGAATCATTTCAGGAAAGCGAGAATAATAGTCAATGACGACTAGATACCACTTATTCTCGAACTTGAACAAATCCATTCCAATCTTTTGCCACGGTCGTGTAGGAAAGTTGGTTGGTATCAAAGGTTCATGTTCTGAGACGGCTTCCTGGATACAGACACTGCACTTTCTGACCGTTTCCGCGATCTCTTCCGAAATTCCAGGACACCATACCGTCTCACGTGCACGAAGTCTTGTTTTTGTAATCCCGAAGTGCCCAGCGTGCAACTTATCTAGGATCTCCAGTTTCATACTTGCTGGAATAAAAAGACGACAGCTACGCATCAGTAGTCCATTTTGAACGCCGAGTTCATCCTTGACATGCCAATAAGAGAGCAGAGCCTGTGACATCTTCTTCTTATCTGGCCAGCCTTGCTCAAGGTAGTTGACTACTGCTTTCAGGGTCGTATCTTCTTGTTGAGCTTCAAAAATCTTCGTCAACATCTCGTCTTTGTCGGTTATACTCGAGAGAACTGCATTTATATGCGCTGAGGTTGGCCGTTCGTCTTCACCTCCCTCGGTTGTAAGAAGTGGTTGTCTGGATAATGAATCGGCGTCGAGCAGCTCCTTTCCAGGGATGTCCAATCTTGTTTTGAGCTTTTCCATCAAAGGTATTGGTACCCGTCGAGGAGTATGCACAGCATATGGTTTTGCTCCAGGTTTCAATTTGATTTCGTAAGGGTTTCCGATCTGTCCCAGTCCTTCAAATACTTCAGGGAATTCCTTGATCGGGTTAATTCTCGTCGCACCCACTTCAATCCGCCTCGCCAGGTTCAAGAGCTCACATGCCCGGCGACTCAGAAGAGGTTCACTCAAACGACGAATGACATAAATCTTCTCCTTGATTTCATAATTGCCATTTCGCAGCGTAGATATAAACATACCCACAGTCTGAAGTTCGGAGAATTCAGCAGCTCTAATGTTGATATCACTTTCCACTAGTCGTTGTTGTCCCATTATCTTCTTGAAGAAGCACAGAGGAACACATGTAACATCCGCCTGGGAGTCGAGCTTGAACTTCACCTGTTTCCCGTTCACTTGGATTTCTGCTGTCCATCGCCTCCTGCACTCGTCTTCATCATCATCGAGATTAGATGAATCCTCCACAGCTGAGACCTCCAGGAGAAAACCAATTTCTTCATCAAGTTCAGAAACAGCTTTGACTTCCGCAGTCTTCGCCTGCTTATCTGGGCAGCAATTTGCAAAATGGCCAGTTTTTGAACATAGGTTACATCTTTGTCCTTCAGCACGGCAAGCCTGTCCTTCCCTGTGGGTGAAACCTCCGCATTTTGGACATCGTGATCTTGTTTTGGCTGACTTCTCCTTCTTCCTCGAAGGCTGCTGTTGTTGTTTCGGTGATTGTTTCTTCGAGTTGAACTTCACCTGATTGACCTTTTGGCTTGTTGAGGGACGCTGCAGGTCGACTTGCTGCTGTCGAACTGCTTCCTGCTGTCGAACCAGTTTCACCGCCTTTTCCAAAGTCAGTTCGCTGTCCAGCTGCATTCTTTCAGATAAAGCTTTGTCCCTCACTCCAACCACTATTCGGTCACGGATCAACTGCTCATGAAGACCCTCAAATTCGCAACTATCAGCCAATTTGTACAATGAAGTGATGAATACTTCCACTGGCTCCCGATCCTCTTGGATTCTTGAATTAAATTTCGCACGTTCGAAGTTAATATTCTTTCTGACACAGAAGTGGCTGTCGAACGCCTTGAGGACGGAATCAATTTTCGTTGCCTCTTCCTCCTTTTCGAACTTGAAGGTCCTGAATATATCATCCGCGCGGTCACCCATCAAGTACATGAACAAATCGATCTTGTCCGCCTCCTCTTTCTTCTTCATTCCACTGACCACGAGGTATCGTTCGAATCTCTTCCTCCATTTGGGACATTCGTTGGGAGTCGAGAAGTCGAAAGTTTCTGGAGGTTGAATCTGAGCCATTTGAATTATCTTCCAAGGTACGCAAAAATCGATATTTTGCAATATACGGGTTCGTATTTTATCCAGTTACCGCTGCCACCATGTTTTAATGTCCATCTATACAGAGTTCAAAACAACAACTACTCACCCATGCAGGCACGGTCACGCTCCACCGCGGCACGTGGGAAAACATACAATATTCCCAGAACAGGCGCAGTGGCAGTTTCCTATCTATCTTTAGACTTTGTTGTGGGGCTTCTAAATCTATCTCGATTTCAGACGTTTTTGACTTCTATCTCTTGCTTTAGCTCAACTCTTAATCTATTATAGAGTTTTATTTATTTATCCTCAGTTTGTACAAAGTACATTACATATGATGATGTAATGACACATGTCAATAATGCGTATAATCAATTACAGATGTATTTCTATTATACAACATGAAAATCTTGTTATAAGTATTATACAATATGGAGTTGTTGGTTTAAATTACCATATATATATTTATATATTGTTTATTTGCAAAAAAGATTTGATATATCTCTTATCTTTATATTTATAAAAGTCAATGAATGTATGTATATATGTGTATCAGCTATACACGTACATAATATGCAACTATTCTGTCTGAAATTTCAACAGCATATAGAGTTCAAACTGGAATATATTTTGTCATATTTTCAACAAAAAAAAAATCAACTAAGGGCTAAAATTTTACATATTTTATTTATTATTTAGAGAGATATATTTATAACCCAGGAAGCGAAGAACGCCAACTACCCGGGGAGTCCAGCTCACTAGTATGGACTAGTGTTGAGCGCTTTTACTAGCGTTCTGTTTTGATTGCTGAGTTAAACCAGTTGATCAGAAATTTCCATGCAGAGGTTGAGTCTGGGAGGCTGGCTCTAGATCTAGGATTGAGGTGTGTCAGTCCAAGAAGGAAAATGTTTATACCGTGTATGTCTAAGGAATGCTGCACTTTATTATTTATTTTTATTGGAGTTTTATAAAAACAATGTCAATAAAAATGACTTTCAGAATTTTTCAACATACTCATTCACAATGACAATAGAATTTTTATGAATTGAAAAAAAAAGTGTTACTTATAAAAATAAAATAACTATGACCTATTTGATTAAAATAGGTATACAAATTCGAATAAAAAGTCAACCCCCAAATTTTTAACCGAGTGGATTTTTACCTTAGTGTGTGTGTATAAAAATGCTGTTTTAAGTTAAATATCTCTTTTTAATGTAAAAGTCAGTGTATGTATGTAATATATATTTTTATATGTTTGTCGATAATACATGTTCTCAATAAGGACCTAATCTGGTTGAAATTTTAACAGGACTTAGAATTAAATCGGGAAAAAAATATTGTCGCATTTTCAGTCGAGAAAAATTAAAATTGATCTGAATCTGGGCAAAAATAATCATTTTTTAATCGAACCCGGGCCGCCCACGTGGCAGGCGAGCATTCTACCACTGAACCACCGATGGTTATGAGAAATGGCCATATTTGGGTAATTATTCCATTCACAAAAGCAAACGGTGACAGAATTGATTAAGAAAGGGCAATGCCCGGGTTTTACCCGATTAAATGCTTTTATTCAAATACTATTCGTTACAATTATAAATTGGCGCCGTGGATGTCATTCTTGTGAAACGTCCCGCCCCAAACTTTGTGTCTGAGAAGCGATATTTTAATAAAGTATGATCTGGCTTTGTGTCTTCTGCTCGAATGAATGTTTTTCTGTTAGAATTTTGTTCCTGCATACTAAAAATGAACTTGCTTCACTCGTGGTCTCTGCTTTTTGGAATTTTTCCGGATATAATTTTGTATCTGATAATCAAATATAATACAGCAATATTGTCATCATCATTTTCTGAATAAAAAACAACTACTTTTTTCCCAGAACCTGTCAATTAATTTTTCTTGACTAAAAATCCGAAAAATATCTTTTCCAGATTTTTCTCTATGTCCTGTTAAAACACGTTTTACATGTCCATTAGTTCAGCTGATATTACCTCCCATCTTCACAGCTAGAGGCGCTGCTTGCGAGCGAAAGGGCAAATTTGCCACGCAATTTGCAAATAACTTGTATACATACTTGTATACTTGTGTACATAAACCATAAATCTGTACATAGACAGGAAAAGCACATATATTTTAATAATATAAATGAGGTTTAAAAATTGTAAAAAAAAATGCATCGGCCGGGAATCGAACCCGGGGCGCCCGCGTGGCAGGCGAGCATTCTACCACTAAACCAAAAGCAAACGGTGACAGAATTAAGAAAGAATGCATGACGCTGATAACTGTATATATATAAATCGTTTCTAAACCTTTTGCCTGAGATCATAGTGCATATTTCTCTATAGTATATCTAAAATTCTATCTCTATATATATATAGAGAAAATATCTTCATTTACGGGGTTGCTAACCAAAATAATAGATTTTTGAGCCCCAATGACCGCGTAAAGCGGAATATATAAAACCACTTTGACCAGGGTGGAGAGGCTAGGGACAGGATCTCCGTCAGGAAGGAGGCAGGTTAGGCCGGATTGGGTCCGCGGAGCTTAGGAGGCAGGAAGAAGGCGGGAAGACTAGAACTTTGCAGCTCTAGCTCTGGCATTTGGACAAGACATTGATCTTGCCTCGTGGTCGGCAGAGAGGCCCTTGGCTGAGCAGTTGGCGCACTTGGCCGTGCGCGGGTTGGCAAGAGTTGGACAGCTTCGGCCTTGGTCTCTCTCTATATATAAATATCAATATATATGTATTATATATATATGATGCATTAGCACGCCATCTGTTATGAAAATTTGAAACTATGATAGACGCGTATGACTCTTTTAAAAATTAAACAATTTCTACCGACCTTTTTTAATTTTTCCGGTTCGGTTCCAAAATCACTTTATTAAGTACCGCTCAACAAGAACAACCTAGTTATGATAATTGAAACAATGAATAATATGTGAAGGTTATTTACATATTAATAAAAAATGTTAACGTGGGATTAAATCCCGGTTCATGACTGTCGGGAATCGAGGATGTTACCCACTCGTCCACCGACTTTTTATTTTTAATTTTTCCAATGCAGTAAGGACAGTAGAGTTTTTGTTTAATTTTTAAAAGAATGATACGCGTCTATAATAGTTTTGAATATACATAGTATATTTATATTATAATTCCGATAAAAAAATCATATTTAAAGTTCAATTCATTTTGTAAATACATTCTAAACTTTCTACAAAATTTGGATCTCTAATGTTTTCCTGCATTGAATAATGTAAATAACTTATGTAAACAAACTTTTCTTCTAGTTTGGCGCAAGTATCCCTTGCGGGATATAACGCTTTGGAAATAAAATAATTGTAAATGCAATAATAACCCTGATAGTATAGTTATCATAACATCAATTTAGATAAGTTATAGTCAATAGTTTAATATCATACCCTCTAATAAAATGTGTATTGCTCCTATTTGTTACCACCTTCTATATTTTATATGATATGCTATGTCTTTATTAATATACGCGACAACACGATCTTTATTGAGACGAAAAGACGAAATAAAAGAAGAAGAGTTTCTTTTAATAGAAATATATCAAAGCAAGCTTTCGGGCAAAAAAACCCTTCTACAGGCGTGATTACAGAATCAAACTGTAGAATGGTTTTTTTCCCGGAAGCTTGCTTTGAAATATTTCTATTAAAAGAAACTCTTCTTCTTTTAAGAAAAAGGCATCTCCTTATCGTGCAACTGAAAGTTGCTGATGGCTTGCGCCATCTATCGGAATAAATATCAACTATTCTCGTTGATTTTTAATTATTCCAGAATTGGCCAAATACCCATTCTTGCACCTTATCCCAGTACAATATCACATTTGTACTATTTTTTCACATTCTTCTTCTTTTATTTCGTCTTTTCGTCTAAATATTACCAATAATAATATTATAGTCGTGATCTTTATTGAGCAGAGATTCGGTTACAGATTAGTGGCCAGCGGGGGAGGGGGTACAAAATCTCTTTCTATAAAATATTTATAAATATAAAATTTTGTTTTGTTCAAGATACATCGTATTTCAGGCTTGTTGCGGCCGAGAATAAAATCGGCAGGACTGAATCTGTAGAGAGGGTCAAACCTCAGGCATTCGTTAGTTGCCTTTTCGATCATTTTCTTTGTAACAGTGCAATCTATGTATCTATGCTGGATGTAAGGCGGTCCGTTGCATACAGTGCAGTAGGGTTTTCCGATTCTTCTCGGATGTGGCAGAGCTCTCAACTTAAGGCGCCAGGCAATGTCGTCGTATATGTTCAATTTGCGGTGCCAGTGAGGTGCAATGCCAAAGAGCCAGTTTATTAATATAATCTGTGTATCATACTTATTTGTATTTGAACGTAAAATGATGACGCCAAAAAAAAAAAAACAGTGGAAGAGTGGGGTGGATACAGCTACGAGGCAAAGTTTCAAAGGAAATAACGGACGTAAAGGAAGGGGCCGCCTTCAAGGGTTTTATAGGCGACCGCGCGCAGGGTCAAAACACAAGTGTCAGCTGGGGGTGTGTACAAATCCACAGAGAGTAGATCGGGGAGGAAAGAGAGAAGGTCTGAGGATAACCTTAGGAACAACTGGTGACGAGACCACCTCGGTGTGAACTGTCCCTTGATCATCACATACAACGATTTTAAACTGCTTTGAGTAAGATAAATTATCTACAAGGGGAAGGATAGTAAAGACTGACATATGGTGAACAAGGGGTTGTTTTAACCTCGCTATTTTATCTTCCATTTCCTCATTCTCCCATGTAAGCCATTTTATTTATAAAAATTATGACATATTTGTTAAACAAAAAAGAATGATCACTTTAAGCAAAGTAAACAATAAAAACAAGAAGTAAACAATACAAAGTAATAAGAGTTTATTAAACATATATAACAAGTAATCATATTAAAAATATTTAGATGAATATTTGTAGAGAAATTGTGATTGTCTTTTACAGGAACTATAGTTTTGATATTGTTGTTTTTGTTGACTGTTTAACAATTTATTCACAATTCTTACCATGTCATCTGATGAGCCGAAGTCTCCCAATATATTATTTTTCATTTTCAGAAAGAGCACTTTAGGAGTTTATTTTATTTAAAATTTTGTAAAATGTAAATTTCGCATTTAAAAATCCCAAAATTCATTCGGGAAAAAATTAATTATGGTCAGGTGCTCAGCAATTTTTTTTCTTATTGTGGTAGCTAAATTACTAATTACTAATTACTAAATTACTAAATTACTGATTATATTTTAACTCTTGCCCTCTATTGGGGATTTATTGTAGTCAATGTTAAACTGTAGATGATCTTTAGTGACCGATAGTTAGAGATTTGTGAATTCCAATGTTTAAAAAGAAACTTATCCACGGAAGTTTGATATTTCACCTTAATATTAACATATTGTCGCGCGTGACCCCTCCAGTTCTTTGCAACGACGCCGCTTCCTCCGTCGTGGATCACCTAGCCGGGCTCCCGATGCTCTCCCTCTGCAGCTGTACCCTGCCGAGCACCCAAGGACGTCCGAGAACCACCGGTCAAGTTGAACTCCTTTCCTTTGGCAGTATCTCTCGGCTTTACCACAGGTGGGAGGACACGAGAGACTTACCAGAAGAGTAGCAGCAGCGATGTTGGCGAGAGTAACAACAGCAACAAGACTTCTAACACTCCTCTTTTATTGTCATTTCTACTACACATTACATAAAACTAGAATAACATTCAATGGGTTTTACAATTATTTACACTCCAGAACCAAAATGAACATTTATTTACAACTATTTTGCTTCAGGAAACAGGACCACAGCAGTCGGCGATATCCACACTAGTTCCAGACGGAAATAGGCGAAAGCGCCATCTATTGGCGGAGATGGTAGGTGTTTTGAGGCCTTATACACGGCAATATTAATATATCATCAGATGGCACAAGAACGTACAGGACATGCAACAATTGTCTTAGTGTGGAACTAACACCTACCTACATATTGTAACATAGTATGTATTAATTTAATTTATGTAACATAGTATTTCTTAATTTTATTATTTTTTATTTAACAGAGTGGTCATTTTTATTTTTATATCTTGCGACTCTGTAAATTTCCCTCGTGGCTTATTTTTTGTTTACCGTTCTTAGTTTGTCCTTCCCTGAAATAAATTTTGTTTCCTCCTGAAGTATTTGTCTTCCCTAATTTTCCACGTGGCATTTTGGTGGAGATGCTGGGTAAGTTAGGGAAGACAAACTAAAGATCGCCGAGAAGACCTTGAAGCCATGGGTGCTGTGATCTACATTTTCGGAGACTGACATCAGGATTCCACCGCCGTGCTAAAGTCAAGACTTCCCTCGAAGATGACGATGTCCCTATAGACGATACGACGACAAAGCCGCTCTTCACGCCGCAAGAAAATGGACGCAAAGGTACTAGGGACAAAGTTCCAAGACTTCGATGGAATCCTTGG